AGAGCTAGTGAGACACTGCAGACACTCTGTGGGGAGGCTGTGGAAATCTAATCACTGCTTGGTCTATTGCTGCCACACGACCCAGCTCCCCGGCATGGCGGTGGCCCCTCTCAGAGTCACCAGCACAGTGGAAAAGAATCAGCTTGGCCCAGGCTTAGGACCCCTGCTCATGGCAAATGACATTCCTGACCAGCTGAGAACGGAGCATGCCATGCACACCTGCGCATGCGTGTACGCACACTCGCACACACGACCTCACTAATTCCTCCCAACAGGACCGGTTGACACTCTGTAATGATGCCATTCTGTGAACCAGGCAGCTGAGGCTCTGAGCAGCTCTGCCCTGTACTCAGCTAGGAATGAAAGAGACTTTACCTTCACACGTGCCACCTCCACCACCCAGGGCATCAAAAGTGATAAAATCCAGCCAGTTGGGGCCAAGCGCTGTGCTACAGCAGACTCAACTACCACCTGAAGCACCAGCATCCCATAAGGGCACAGGTTCTAGTCCTGGCTACTCCCCTTCTGATCTAGTTCCCTGATCTAGCTAATGTACCTAGGAGGGCAAAAGGGTTTGGTCCAAGGACTTGGACCAAAAGACGTAGGGACATCATCGCTGGAGACTCGGATGAAACTTCTGGCTCCTGGATGCTGGCTTCAGCCTCGGTGGATGCAGCCATTTGGGGAATGAGCCAACAGATGGAAGATCTTTCTTGCTCTCTTTTGTTTCTCCCTCTCTCTGTAACTCTGCCTTTCAAATAAATATTAAATCTTTGAGAAAGAAGCTGACAAGTCTCCTGGGCTCCCTTCATCCTTTGACAATTACTCCGAGGATGCTCAGTGCACCATGAAGTTGGCCACCGTTGGGTAACAGCCCCTTCACAGCTCCTCTTGGTTGCATGTGCCCTGCAGACAATAGCTCTGCCCCTCAACCCTGCTCTGTCTCCCCTCCGACTGAGCTGGGACCTACTGGCCTTGGCTACAGAAAGACTAGAGTGACAGAGAGCGCCTCCTTGCCAGTGAGCAGGGACCCTCCACTGCAGACACAGCAAGCCGACCCGGTGGTGTGCCAGGTGAAGGGAGCAGGGCTCTCTCAGAACACGAGAGGCAGCAGCCTGCTCCAACCTCAGCCACCTCCCTCATCACCCAGGAAAGGCAGGTGGTGCAGCTTGGCACAAAGACAAAAAGCCCACACATCACCCACGCAATTAGGCCTGCACAGCACGGCTCCCAGCCAGGCCCATGCCGAGCGCACACAGTGAGATCACGCTGTCTAGCTGCTTGTTGCAACACCAGTCTTGCGGATCTCAAGGTTATTCTGAGTTTCTGGACTTTAAATACCTCTGCTCGCACCTGCCTCCTGCACCGACCTCACACTGTTCCTTCCGCCTGTGACTCATTCATTAGCATCTCAGCAGAGATGGATGTGTCTTGGACAAAACCCACGCTTGCCCCTAGAAGGAGAAAAACCTCCTATGTCCCATAGTGCTTGGGCCTGGCACAGGGTTCAAGGTCACAGGCAACATGACCAGATTCCTGGGTACCCACATCTGATCAAAGAGTGCACGTGGTACGGGCTGGCGTATCTCCCCTCACTTCCAAACTTAGGGCCAAAGTCCTGCCTCCCCTTTCCCCCCGCCCTGTCCCGTATTTTAGCAGTGGGCTGCACTTGGAGAGAGCGCTCCTCTGGAAAAGGTCAAGCAAGGTCATGCAGACAGGTGATCTTCTGAGAACACAGACTAGCTGGGGTGGGGGGATGGATAATCACATCAGGGAACGGCAAAGAGAAGGCCGTGTGTGAGCCCAGGAGGGGTTCAGCGGAAGCCAGTCTTGCCCTACCTTAGCCTTGGACTCCTGGGCCGTAGAACTGTGAGCAATAAAAGCCATTGTCTAAGCCAGCCAAGGAGACCAACATCAGAAACAGGGCCAGAGAAGGGCTGGCAGCCGCGGACTCAGACCCAAACCCACGCCCTGGGCGAGGCTGTTCAGGTCTCAGGAGTTCACGGCCACATTACTGCCACCTCTGCTGACGGCCTCTGGGTACATTTCACCAATCCTTCAACATCTACAAGTTTATAACAGCCAGACTTGGGTGGGCGGATGAGGTCTCCGGGACCATAAGCTGTGCTGGGAGAAGTGGGACTCCAACATTATACAGGAGGTTGGGGGCCCCCAGGCAGACCCTGCAACCAGGCTCATTCCCACCACGATTTCTTGAGCGCCCATGTATGGCAGGCATCCAGCATGCATAGCACTGGGAGCCCAACAGGTGACCAGATGGCTAAACAAGTAATTACCACACAGGTACCTATTCCATGACAATGAAAGCCCAATCAAAAGACTGAAGTGGAAAGAGGGCATTGAGTAATTAGCTATCTGGAAGGGAGAAATCTAGGGGGGCTTCTAAGAAATGGTGTTGAGATATCATGGGAGCTCACGAGCAAACAGGAGGCTGGGACAGGCACCATAGACTGAAGACTCAGCTGGGAGGAGACACTGTCGAATACACAGGGGCTACTCTGTTAATATGGTGGGCCCAAGCAGGAAATGGGACAGGTCAAGCAAGAAGGTGTTAAGAGTAACAGCAGCCTGACATTCCAGCTGAGCTTGGCCTGCACACCTCTAAGGTCTTCTATTGAATATTTATTTGAAAGACAGAGTGACAGAGAAAGACAGAGATCTACCCTCTGCTGGTTCACTCCCTAGACACCTACCGAAGCCAGCACTGGGACAAACTGAAGCCAGAAGCCAGGAACTCCCGCCTGCTCTCCCACACGGATGGCACGTCGGCAGGAAACTGGGCGAGAAGCAGAGTAGCTGGCCCTCGTAGTGGCATTACAATGTGGGACACTGGCGCCGCAGGCAGCGGCTTACCCTGAGATCCCAGAGACAGGGAAGTGAGCCGGTTGGAGTTGTGTGTTGGAGACACAGCTCAGACTGTGGGGACAGGGACAATAGTTGGCGCTGACAGCCACGCGTGAGATGCCAAGGCCCATACTGGGGCACAGTGCCCACAGCCTACTGTCTGCGATCTCTTTTCCCTGGGCCAAGCCAGAAAGCTGTTCCTAGTAAGCTGGGAGGGTTGCACCTGCAAATTCTAAAGGAATTTAGGAAGTGACCGGGAAAGGGGCAGGCTGGGGCAGGCTGGGGCAGCAATCAAGAGATACTACTTAGGATGCTGCAGCCCTACACCGCAGTGCCTTGTTTACGTCCCAACTCCACTTGCCATTCCCACTTCCTGCTACTGAGCACCCAGGGAAGCAGCAGGTGCTGGCTCAAGTGGCTGGAGAGGGCCAGATAGCATGCCTGGCTCCTAGCTCTGACCTGGCCCAGTCCTAAGTGGTAAATGCACTTGAGGAGTGAACCAATAGTTATAAGTGCACACTCTCAGGTCCAGCACGTTAGCCTAGCGGCTAAAGTCCTCGCCTTGCACGCACCGGGATCTCATATTGGCACCGGTTCTAATCCCGGCAGCCCCACTTCCCATCCAGCTCCCTGCTTGTGACCTGGAAAGCAGTCAAGGATGGCCCAATGCCTTGGGACCCTGCACCCCTGTGGGAGACCCAGAAGAGGCTCAAGGTTCCTGGCTTCGAATCGGCTTAGCTCTGGCTGTTGTAGTCACTGGGGGGAATCAGCACATGGAAGATCTTCTTTGTCTCTCCTCCTCTCTATACATCCACCATTCCAATAAAAATAAGCAAATTTTCTTTTTAAAGTGCATCCTTTCTTTGCATCTTTGTAATTTTGCCTTTCACGTAAATATAGATATGTCAACATAGTTTTAAAGTGTCAGAATAAAATAATAATAAACAAAGATGGAGAGGCAGAAACAGGAAGAGGAGGAGGAAAGGGACTTTTGAAATCACAGTCTGGGGCTCAGATCTCCGTCCTGCTTGCTCGCTGTGTGCCCTCAAACAAGATACTGGCCTTCCCTGATCCATGGTTTTTTGATTTTGTTTTTCCTCTGTAAAACCAGACAGGTCCTGCCCACCTCCTAAGGGGAGCTTAGGGAGAAAACAGACCCAAGCCTGAAACTGAAGCCACTGCCTCCCAGCCACAAGTGATGCTTAGGGAAAAGCTGGTTCGTGTTCTAACCCCCTTGGGCCGCCCGGCTCTCCACCCAGATAGGGGAGGCACACCGCAGCCAAGAGTGCCAAGGCTCCCCCAGATTCTCCCCATCACCACTCCCCAGGCAGGCTGCTGAGCTCCACCCCGCCAAGCCCCACTGCACCCTCTCTAGACACAGTCCCAACCACCCCAAGTGGCTCCACTTGCAAATTTGAATGGGAGAGAAGCAGGGTCCTGGGTCCAGGAGACCCCAGGAAACTGCACTCCACAGCCAGGAAAGGCAAAGTTATTTTTGCCTTCTCAGAGCCCACAGTCCGAGCCAACGAGGCAAATGGTTTCGGGACAAGGCCCAGAAAGGTCCTTAAGGCCTCATGTTCTGCCAGAGACACACTTACAAGTTTAGAAACCTCAAGCTCCATGGCGTCTCTGGGGTTCACTTTACGCAAAGCTGTGGTTTAGCGCAAGATAAAACAAACCCCCTCCAAGCCACCAATCGATGGCTGACGGCCTGTGCTCAGCCTCCCCATCCATCCAGTGCGACACACAGCCATCAAGGCAGAGCACAGAGGGGCGCTCGGAGCCACAGGACAGCCAGAGGAGACAGGTGCAGAAAGCTGTTGTTTTTTGTTTGTTTGTTCTTTTAACAAAGAATGGGGCAGGGAAGCCAGGGAGAAAAAAGGTTTGTTTGCAGTTCCTGTCAAGCACCCACGGGCAGAGTCAAGGTATCCTGGCTACGAGGGAAGCAGGTGACCAAGGACAGCCCAGGCAGATGGACCCCAAAGAACCTGGTAAAGCTGGGGTCCCGAGGAGCAGCATCTCCATCCTGGCACTGGGGACTCGAACATGAGGTCCACGCCTCTGCAATGTCTACAAAGCCGACATCAGTTCCAACAGGAAACACAGGGCGCCCCCAGCCCTTCCTGCCATCTTACTTTTGCTGGGTGGCTCCTCTTGGCCCAGGCTGTTGGAGGGGGCCAGTGGGGCACCGCCAGTCTCGTCCAAGGTCAGAATCAGGGGCACGTCGTCATCGAGACTCACGGCCATGTCTTCCTCCCCTGTGGCCCTCAGGACGTGCTGGCCACGGCTGTGAGCGGTCTCTGGTTTGAGCTGCCTAAGCAAGCCACCAGCCCGGAGCTGCGTCTCAGGAAGTCCTCCATCCGAAGCATCTTCTGCAGGTTGGGGGATTCCAGAAATAAGAGAGGCCATTATTAAAACATCACCACCACGGATAAAACCGTTCTAGAATCAGCAGATCACACACCCTGTGGCCACACTAAAGCCCAGGAGTCATTCTCTCCTAAATGGTCAGTGTGTGGTGTGTGGATTACATCTCAAGGTAAAACAAGCAGAGCTATCCAGGAAGAACAGCACTAAAATATGAAAAAGGAATCTGGGAATAAACACTAACATATTAAGGACAATAACATCAGAGTGAAATTTGGGCCACTCTGTTCCATTTCTACCTTTTATATTTATTTGCGTAAAATTTCTGTAAAGATTTTAAAGACCAAAAGAAAAAAAATATTGAAATGAAGGTAGCTAATATTTTTCACTATTTTTTTGAGATTCATTTTTTTTTATTTTATTGGAAAGTCAGATATACAGAGAGGAGGAAAGACAGAAAGGAGGATCTTCCATCTGTTGATTCATTCATTCCCCAAGTGACTGCAACAGCTGGAGCTGAGCTGATCCGAAGTCAGGAGCCCGGAGCCTCTTCTGGATCTCCCACAGGGGTTCAGGGTCCCAAGGCATTGGGCCATCCTCAACTGCTTTCCCAGGCCACAAGCAGGGAGCTGGATAGGAAGTGGAGCCACCGGGATTAGCACCGGCGCCCATATGGGATCCTGGCAAATGTAAGGCAAGGACTTTAGCCGCTAGGCTACCAGGCTTGGCCCACTTTTCACTATTTTTGAGGAATGATTTCTATGTTCAGGGGGCCCTACTAGCAAGTCACAAGTTGATTAAATAGTGGGGCAAAGTTATAGCACAGTGGGTTAGACCATCACCTATGAGTCTGGCACCCCACATAGGCACCAGTTCCAAGCTGCTGTGCTTCCAGTCCAGCTCCCCTGCTGATGCACCTGGGAAGGGGAGGGGGAAATACGGCCAAGAGCTTGGGTCCCTGCCACGCATGGAACACCCAGGTGGAGTCCCACACTCCTTGCTTTGTCCCGTCCTGACCACTGACAGTGAACCAGAGGATGGAAGATCTGTGTCTCCCTCTCTGCCACTCTGCCTTCCAAGTAAAGATTTTTTTTTTCAATAGTTGACACATTAAGCTTTTGACTATAATTTTAAATGTTATCTCAAAAAACAATAGATATGATTAAGTTTTAAAAAACTGTACATAGTTCTATGCAATAGATAGGAAGAAAATTTAGGCCCAGAGGAGATATGTAACTTGTTTAACACCACCCAGCTACAAAGCCAGCTCTTTGCTACACATTCCTACAACTCCAAATCCCGACCCAAGATTTTGGTGGCCGGAACAGGGTCAGCAGGCTGGGCCACACACACAGGCAGGTGTGCTTTCCAATATTTTCCCTTGTACTGTCTGAAGCAGCCTTTCAGGGCGCCCAGTCACACCCCTAAGATCCTCCTGGCCTTGGCCACTAATCAGCCCGCAGGCATCACCCTGCTTGTTGGGGCCTGAGGAGGGAGCAAGCGGAGGGAAGAGAGGCATTGTGCAGGGCCGGGCGAGGTATCCTAGTGGCTTGTATGCTCCAGGGATCCCATATAGGGGTCAGTTTGTATCCCAGTGCCCCCACTTCCCATCCAGCTTCCTGCTCATGGCCTGGGAAAGCAGTCAAGGACTGCCCAAAGCCTTGGGACCCTGCACTCGCGTGGGAGACCTGGAGGAAGCGCCCTGCTCTTGGGTTCATACTGGCTCAGCTCCAGCTGTTGCGACCACTTGGGGAGTGAATCAGCAAGCAGAAGATCTTCCTGTCTCTCTTCCTCTCTGTATATCTGCCTTTGTAATAATAATAATAATAATAATAATAATAATAATAATAATAATAATAATAATAATAATGGATGTGTAGAGTCACCCAGCCAAGTACCTTCCCCTGCCTGCCAGGGCAGCCAAGGGAACCTGTGTTCAACTGCTCCTTACACACACCCCTCCTGGTTTGGGAGGGCCAAAGCAAGGACTCAGCGGATCTGAAGGCGATCTTTGAACCTGAACAAAGCCATGGGTTCCTCCCACCCCAGTGAGCAGCAGCTGGCTTCCTCGGTGAATTACCCAACAGCTGGGAGCAGGAGTCCCGGCTTCCTGAAAGGAGGCAGCTGATGTCAGCACCCTGCTTGTCCAGCCTCCAGCAAACTTCCTGCCAAGCTTTTTTTTTTTTAAGTTTCCTTCAGATCCGGGGACTGACTTTGCTTTCAGATCTCAGTGGGAGGCACCAGAGGAGGAAATTCCAGACAGACGCCACCAAGAGGCCGCCTTACAAATGAAGTTTCTATTTGTTTAACTTTTTTTTTTTAAACTGTGGGTCTCTTCACCTTCAAAACCAGCATATACAACCAAGAAACTCCCCGGGACCCAGCACGATAGTGTAGTGGTTAAAGTCTTCGCCTTGCATACGCCGGGATCCCATAATGGGCGCTGGTTCTAGTCCCGGCAGCCCCGCTTCCCATCCAGCACCCTGCTTGTGGCCTGGGAAAGCAGTCGAGGACAGCCCAAAGCCATGAGACCCTGTACCCCTGTGGGAGACCCGAAAGAGGCTTCAGGTTCCTGGCTTCGGATCGGCACAGTACTAGCCACTGTGGTCACTTGGGGAGTGAATCATCGGATGGAAGATCTTCCTCTCTGTCTCTCCTCTTCGCTGTATACTTGACTTTCCAATGAAAATAAATAAATATTAAAAAAAAAAAAACTCCCCGGCATTTCATCCTTTGGCTTTGACCAAGATCTCCCCTGGAATGATCTATTAACCCTTCAGTGCACAGCAGTAGGAAGGGGCTCTCCTCCTTCCACTATAGTGCCCCCCCAGTCTCCCCTCAGGGGCGGATTCTGCCCCCAGAGGACAGGAACACTGGAGGTGGTTGGGGGATGGTCCACAACTGGGGATGGAGAGGGACGGGGGTGAGGCCAGGAGCCCCACTGAACGCCCTGCAGTCCACAGGTAAGACCTCCTCCCAACAGCCAAGAAGCCCTGGGTCAAGGTCCACGCGCAGGTGAGGAGACCCCTCCCCCCTTACAGATGAGCAGAGCGGAGCTCGGCGGGCTCCACCTGCCTCCTGGAGCTCCGAGTCAACTCTGAACTCTGGGACCACCGCCGCCCTTTCCTACTCCCAGCACCACACTCCAACTTTAAACCTAAACCCATCATATTTACAAAGAGTTGGACAGGAGGCCCAGAGAAAGAAGGGAATCTGCCCAAGGTCGCACAGTGTCCTGGCAAGACCTGGAACTCGGGTCCTGAGCTCCCCCGGCCCGCGCTCCTCCTCCTGCGGGAGTCGGTCCTTCCTCCAGACCGCCCAGAAGGTCACCCCTGAAGAGAAAAAGGTCCTGGGGACCCGGGACCAGCTGTCACTTCGCTCGCTGTTCACTGGGACAGCATGACCCGGGCACTAGTCTCCGGCAGGGTCACCCGAGGGCGCCAAGGAGAAAGGAGGCACCTGAAGGGCAGCTCCAGCTTGGCAGCTCCCCGCCAGAGCCTGGGCGCCCGCCTGGGGTCTCCCGGGAAGCCCTGGGACGAGGAAACGGGGTGCAAAGCCTCATCCAGGACTGGAGGGAGACCAGCACGGCGAGGGCTTCCCCCTGTTCCATGGGAGTTCGCCCTGCCCGCCTCCCACACCCAGGTGACCCCTAACTCCGAGCCCCCTGACCCTTGACCCCTGCCCTCTCCCTCGACCAAGCGAGCCCCTGCATCCCTGGGATTCTTACACGCGCCGCCCCAGCAACCCGGATGGCGCACCGGGGTCCGCACCGCGCAGCGCAGCCCGCCGGCACCGCCGCCAAAGCTCGGAGCCTGGAGCTGTTGCAGGGGCCGCAGCCGCCGCCACTTCAGCCGCTGCCACCACGGCAGCTGCGCCAGCTCTACCATCCGCCGCCTACCGTCCCTGAACCCCACCAGCCCCGCCCCGTTGCTCGTCCGCGGCAGCCTACTGGCCACCCGAGCTGCCATGCTGGCGTTTGATTGGCCAGGCCTCACGTCCTTCCTCCGTTCTCGTTCGCTGCTCAGGCAAGCCTCTCGGCCCGCCTCCTGGGGAAGGGGCGGGACTAAGGAGCTCCGCCCCGTGCTCCCCCACCCCGCCCTGCTTGATTCATTCTGCCCAGCCCAGAGGAAGTCCCGGGTCTTTCAATTGGTGGAACGTCAGCAAGACGTTGCTTCTGATTGGTCAGACCTCAAGAGGCGGGGATAAGAGACCAAAACAAAAAATTGAATGGTAAAAAGGAAAATCAGTCAGACACCGAGTCCCGCCCCTTGAGGCTGACGGGTAACCTAGCAACGCGGGGACCACAGCTGTAACTGTTGGTTAGAGAAAGGTGAATCCCCGCAGCACAGGTGAGTAAGCTTGATAGGGAAGGGTGGGCCGCCGGGGAAAGTGGATTAGGGTCCAGTGCGTTCTTCTTCAGCTCCCTGAGGAAGAAGTAGCCCTCATTGCGGTCCTGTCCCAACTCCAGCCCCTGCCTCACGGTGTGGACCTCTCCACAGCCTGCGGGAACCATGAGGCGTCCGCCTTCCCGCCCGCCTGCCTCCCTCAGGTCTCCCTGGAAAGGAAACCAGCCCCCAGCCCAGTAGAGTCACATCCGTCGTAGCCGACTCCTTCCAAGTCAGACGTGGGTGCTGGGGTGAGCGGGGAGCAGCCTCGCCTCACCCGGTGCTGTTTCCTAAGGGTCGTCGTGTCTGCCTTCCGCACCAACTCGAGATAACGCCCGTCCCCTTCCTCAAGGAGTGTTACAGGCTTGTGCCCGCGAAGCCACTTTCAAAAGTCTGTGGAAAATGGAACTCAATCAGCGTATTTGGGTGCAAGGTTTATTTTGGAATCACACACACTCGTGCTGGAGAAGAGGGTTTGTGTAACATTCAGTGGGGCAAGGCTGGAGGGCGGCGGGCAGCGGGGGACTGCTCAGGAAGTCTTAGCACTTTTTTTCTCCCAGAATGCACCCAACCTTGACTTTTCCTGCTTCTAATGGTTCCCAGGATATTCTCCTTTTCCATACTTAACCTATCCATGAAGTGAACAAGTCTTTGTGGAAATAGCCCACTGAGAGAAGTAAAATTGCCGCTGTGGGGATTCGCTGCCAGGAGGCTAGAGGGAGGGAGTGGGCAAGCGCTCACCCCCAGAGCACTTAGAGTCCTCTGATGGAAGAGCATATACACCAAAGGAGAGCTGGCCGTTCCCCCAGAACAGCATTCAGTCAGGGCAAGGAATGGAATTCTAGAACATTCTACCACATGGACAAACCTGGAAGGTATCATCATGCCATGAGAAAAGAGCCAGATCCTAAAGGACGAACGTTAGGTGATTCCACTGAGGGGCAGGACCCATGTCATTTAATGGGCACAGAGTTGCAGATTGAAGAGAAAGTTCTGGAGCTGGAGACTTCTGCATGTAACAGTTACCAAGACAAAGGGCAAGAGGTGCCCACATCCCTTGGTTCCTGCTTGTCTGCACTCATTCCAGCTTCCTGCCATCATGTGTCCCAGGAGACAGCAGGTAATGGCTCAAGTACTTGGGCTCCTGACACCCACCTTTGCACAGCTCTGGGTGCTGGCTTCAGCCTGGCCTAGCACTGGTCAGTGTGAGCATGTGCAGTGGAAGGTACCTCTCTCTCTCTTTCCCTATGTGTATATGTGTCTGCTTTTCAAATAAGAATTTGAAAAGATTGAAATGATAAATTTTATATTATGTTCATTTTACAATTTTGTTTCTTAAGATTTATTTGAAAGGTAGAATGACAAAGAGAGGAAGAGAGACAAAGAGATCTGTTAACCCCTGGTTCATCCCCCAAATGGCCTCCCCTGCCAAGGCTGGGCCAGGCTGACGCCAGGAGCCTGGAACTAACTCCATCTGGGTCTCCCAAGTGAATGGGTGGCAGAGGCCCAGGCACTTGGACCATCTTCTACTGCTCTCCTGGTCACATTAGCAGGAAGCTGGATTGGAAACAGAGCTGCCCGGACTTCAGCTGGCATCCTGATATGGGATGCTACAACTCATAGGTGACAGCTTAAGCCACTGTGTCACAAAGGTGGTCGGCCCTATTTTACCACAATTAAAAATCTATCCAGTGGGACAAAGCTGTCTAGTGTGAGTTTAGCACTCTGAAAACCAACCAAAGCATCAGCAGGTTGATAACATTTTCTTACAAGAACTCCTGAAATTGGAGGTTGTGGTGTGCTTTCCTGGGGATACGTGGAATTCCCCAAGCCCACTTCTGCTTGATTTCCAGGCGGGTGGATGGTTTGGCAAAACCAGTGGTATTTTTGCTTGCTGGTCTGTGCTTGACCTGGGCCCTGTTGGCTAATGTGCCATCCTTAGTGGCAAGGACACAGGGCACAGAGAGGCCAGCAGCTCTCCAGGTACAAGGTCGTAGTTCTCTCTGGGGGCAAACAGCAGACCTCTTGGAACTCTGGGAAGTGACATGGCCATGATGAACTGCCTGTGCTAAGTGCTTGACCAGAGGCTACACCAGTGTATGGTGGTAGAGACCAGAAGGCCCAAGCCACTTAGGCATCCCAGAGCCAGTGTAGACATGGCCAGCCAAGACAAGGTACCCCACATTGCTGCTGGGAACAGAAATACTACAACCCATCTGAGATACAGTTTGGCAGTTGTAAGAAGCAACTAATTTTATCTACTTGAAACGCAGAGAGAGATAGTGGAGCGAGATCTCCCATCTGCTGGTTCACTTTCCAATTTTCTGAAATAGCTAGGACTGGGCCAGACAGAAGCCAGGAGCTGGGAACCGAATCTGGTTCTCCCACAGTAGGCACAGGAACAGAACCAGGCCTTGGCCTGAGGCCTTCTGATAAGGGGTACAGGTAGCCTGTGTGACGTCTTTTCCACTATGCCAAATGCCTACCCCTTTCTTTTTCCTTTCTCTCCCTTTCCTTAAATAAGCTTGATAGATTTGAAAGTCAGCTGTACAGAGAGATCTTCCATCTGCCAGTTCACTCCCCAGAAGGCCATAAGAGCCGTGGCTGAGCCAGGCCAAACCCAGAAGCCAGGAGTTTCACTCACATCTCCCACATGGGTGGCAAGGACCCAAGTACTTGGGCCATCCTCTAGCTTTTCTCAGGCCATTAGCAGGGAGCTAGATGGGAAGTGGGGCAGCCAGGAGACAAAGCAGCACCCAGTGTTGAAGGTGGAGGCTTTACCTGCTATTCCACAATAGTGGCCCCTGGCAAATTCCTAAAAAGTCAAATTTTTATGCAATCCATTATATCTACTCTTGGGAATATACCCAAGAAAAATGAAAACAGACATCCACGTGAAGACTTACATATGAATATTCACAGCGCCATTACTCATAACAGCCTCACGCTGGGAACAAGCCCAAGTGTCAGTCAGGAGATGAATGGATAAACAAATTGTGGTGTTCCCATAGAATACTCTTGCGTAATGAAATGCAGATGAGGGCCGCAGTGTGGGTGAATCTCAGAAACCTGCTCCTCAGGGTTTCTCAGTCTCAGCTCTATGAGATTCGGCAACAGATGAGTGTTTATCTTGAGGAACTGTGTTGCAAACTGTATGATGCGTCACAGCCTTTCTTGGCCCCTCCCCACTGGATACCACAGTCCTCCTCCCCGAATGCCGATCAAATGTACCTCCAGGTTATTGCCAAGAGCCTCCTAGAAAGCAAAATCAGCGTTGGCTGCAAACCATGGCACTCAGTAAAAAGTCAAAAGAGTCCGTGCCGTACGCCTCTCCTGGTATGGAATACCCAGGAGACTTGTGCGTGGGTGGCAGCAGAGAGTCTGCAAGTTAGGTCATAGGCGCTTGCGGGAGCGACGGGAATTTTTCTGAAGCTAGGTTGTAGTGATATGCATAACTGGGAAGCTTTACAACAGGTGGCATGGAGCTGTGCTTTCGCAAGGGCCAATCCTTAGTCGTAGATAATGCCTCAACAGATGTGTGAAAAGGAACCCAGCTGCCACAGACAACCCGAGGGAGTCAGAAAGGGTTTGCATGGCTTGTAAGGCATGCTCTGTTTTCGGCCAGGGAGGAATCCCCACTGAGCCGAGACCTAAGAAAGGAGACTTTTCCCAGGGCCTGGGTACTGATTCCAGGCTGTAGGGATGCTGTGCGTGGAACTCCAGGTGCCAGGATCGCATCCTGGGAGGCCAGCGTGGCTGCAGCTCAGTGGACGTGAGGCAGGAGACCAAGACGGGCTGCTTCTCCTCGCTTCCCAGGCCCTGCACCTGTGTCCCTCGCCACGCTTTAGGTAGCCACGCACCATCTGCATGGCGCCCCAGCCACACCTAACCAGGCCCCATCTGAACTCTGCTTTTGCTTGTTGCCCATCTGCACTCTTTCACCTCATCCCATCGTTTCTGGAGCCCCTCCCAGTGTCTGCCTGGTCACTGCCCTGTCCCCTGCAGAGGCCACCAGGCCACCCTCATCTCTTCCACGCACCATGGTAAGATGCTAAATTGGAACCCTTTGCTGGGTGCCGGTCGTTCCTCCCTTCTACCCTGGCATTCCCCCTCCCTCACTCCCTCCCAAGCTACAGAGCCACCCACGTGGCTCAATCCCTCTGGGAGCTGTCACTTCCTCTTCTTGAGCAGTGAAGGAAGCCGTAATGGCTAAATTTTCTAACCCAGTCAAATAAGGACGCCTGCCTTATTTGCTAGTCTGCCCACAAGGTGATGCTGAGCCAAGACCAGGTCAAAAGGCCACAAGGTGAGACTGGGGTAAAGTCAAGAATGCAAGTGGGGTGCGTGCTGAAGTCATAGTCCTCTTACGTGTTGCCTGAGTACACGCACAGGAAAGGGATAGACTCAAGTCTGCTCTTCCCTTTCCTAAACTTCACTCTCCAGCAGCTGGTGATTAAGGGCTTTGGGCACCAGGGCTGTGGTCTCCCTCCAGCCCAGCCTGGCTGCC